ACACCTAATTTAGATGTCTAATTTGTGAGGTTAATCCCTCAAGGCTCTGCTACCATCAGCAGAAAGAGGTAGCCTTGCTCTCTCTGGCTATGCATCCCTATTTCCTCCCATGAGCTGGCACTTATATTTTCAAGGCTGTTCAGCGAATTAAATTCACAAATTGTTTTAGCTGCATAAGTTCATTAAGCTGCAAAATAATATTTTAAGTGGGTTTTTCACATGTTAAGTTCTCGGTGGATCAGCTGATCTGTCTGACCATGAATGCACACAAACAGCAGCAGCAGTCCTTCAAGTTCACAGCTCTGAAACTGGCCAGAGCAGATTGGGATGATCTCTTTAGCCAACAGCTTATGGCACCAATGTAAATTAAATTAGATGGCTGGAACAGAGTTACATGTATGTTGTGTCAAAAAAAAATCCACATGGAAAGAAAATTTCATCAAATTATTTCTAATCTTACAAAAAAAGTCCATAGAAGGAGAGAATCCATGTTCATGGGGCAGCAGTCCAGTTATCTTTACACTTTCCATAGTTTCTGCTTCATTCAGCTAGTACATACTCCAAACTCTGCAACAAATAAAGCAGAAGTCCTTCAGAAAAGCATTTAATTCATCACACAACTACAGGGTTTTTTCCGTACACTGAATAAAGCTGAAATCCCTTGGGGAAAAAGCAGTATGTGGTAGTTAATGATATTTTAACACAGACAGACAAAAGAGGGTAAATTAACTCTAAATAATTGAATTTGAAACCATAAAGGTATTTCCATGTATCTGACTGAGAGCTTAGAAAGGCAAATCCAAACTCCAAAGATTTCATAATGTCAAACTAAAGTGGAGTCAAGTGGCAGGGTAAGGGTAAGAACACTTCAGGCATGTTGCCATGTCAGTTATAGAAATTGATTTTTAAATAACTCATAATTTTCAAGAATCTTTTACATCTTGTTATAGAAAATATATAAACATGCAGCTTAGAACCATAAAAGTGGCCCAAGTCCATTAAAATTTATAGACTCTCTATTGACCATAGATCAGGCTCTGTGTGTATAGAGCAATGGGCTCAATATACTGTAGCAATGAACTTTTTTTCTTTCTTTTTTTAAGCACTTCAACAAGCAAATATTTATTTTAAAGAAACATATCTGGCATAATAATAGTATATAAAACTAGATTAATTTGCTTCAATGACTTCTGTAATTATGAAGAAAATATGAAGACACAGAAGGAAAACAATGACCGCCTTTTTTAACTGGTATTCTGCTATGTATAATCATTCTATTGCTGTCAGGATCTTCATATTGTTGTGGTATTTTACGAAAAAAAATCTTAAAGTGACTTATCATCTTGTAAATTGACAAAACAGCTAATGTTTTAACAGTGCTGCATAGACCAGCTGCTCCTTTTTTGTTTGTTTACTACAAGCTGAAGATATTATGATTTGTTTCACAATACAGTCACATTCAGAAAGTACATTAAAACCTATGGATATAAATTAGATCATCAATTGAGGGTTCTCCTTGTTTATGAGGTAACAACTGTATCCTGTGGAGGTGTTTATTAGACCCGTTACGCATACAGTCGCTACCAATTTAAGTGGAAGCATGCTCAAGTTTTACTTGCAATACAAAAATGTTAAATAAGACCTTAATTTCCCAACAAAAAACCTCACACAAAATAGATGAAAACACTGAAAAATATTTACAGAAGCATGTGCCCGAAGCTGAATGAAGTGGGAATATCAAAAGCATTAGAGAATTGTAACTAGCACTCCAATCAGTTGCAGATGAGATTCTAATTTTAGCGTAGTTCCCAACACTAGCATCTACAACCAATAGATTGGAAAATATATATGCATGCTAGCAGTCTTTGCATCAGTTTTGTTACAGAAATCAACATGGACCAGAGATTTTGTCTATGAAGAAATGGGGTGATAAAGTAAAAAGATATCTGTATGTAACATCATAAAAATCAGATAAAAATTTGCACTTTGTGCATTAATTGATTACTCATAATATCATACTATAATTACCTATTCTCAAAACACAGTGGTTTTAAGTTCTGTGGAGAATAATGAATGGTATTTTAACTCTGAACTTGGTTGTAAATCACACTATGCAATCGTCTTCTTAAAGAAACAGGAGACACATACTAATATCATACACTACCAACTAAAACAAAACAAAACAAACAATGGACCCAGAGTCCATTACCTACTGTCCCACACCAACTGTGCCCAAGACTACCTACCAGGAAGGATGGTTATTACTGAAGTCCTCTGCCAAGTGTTTCCCTCTGTCTCCTTGTCTTTATTTTCCACCAATAGGTTAGGTCTTAGTTTTTCTCCCCCTCATTTGCCATTCCCAATTGTTTGTTTTTCCCCTAGTGTTTTCTCTTTAGTCTACTGTCCTTCTTGGAAGGAAACTTTGTTTATACAATAGAGGGACTCGAAACCAAACTCAAGGCAAAAATCAAGAGCAGCTGCCTCAGGCAGATACCAAGGAAAGTATCTAAAACCAAAGCAAGCACACAGTAAGTACTTCCTGAGAATGTTCCCCCAGAATGCAACCATTTGCAGCTCTCAGACTCCCTGAGCCATATGTAAATTTAAATTTTTCATGCCTTTTATTTTTCTTACGTATTTCATCCAGTTGCTTATTGAATTTATGCAAACTTCTACCATCTACATCATCTTACGATATAGAATGTCCACAGCTTAATTACACATGGTCTGACGTTTGTTTGATACAGTAAAACTGGAAAGGCAGCTTGACTGCTGTAAAGAAGTATTTAATGGACTCTTTCTGCTAGGAATATCTCATTTTTCTCTCACTGGATTTTTGAAATGTTTCACCGGAATAGTTCTGTATTAACTAATTTAGACAAAGAGCGGTTTATACTTTGCATACAGAACTTCTCATCTATATTTTGCATTGCACCATGAAAAATGCTGCTCTGTAGGAGTTCACATCTGAGGGATGTTACCTCCTTACAGCAACATGGTATTAGCTTATCTCTGTGTCAGTGAACCTTCATGTTGGAAGGTTATTTGCTTTTTTAAAAAATATTTTTTGAAATCTACAAAATTGTGATGCAGTAGGAGACACTACGAAATATATCCAATATATATACAACACATATATGAGATATCTGTACTTTGGTCCATATTGCAGTTCTAATCTATTTCACTTCTGTGCGTTGAAGACTGAAGTGTCATTTATTTAAAAAAAATTAAAATCAAGAACATGTGTCAATGAATAAGTGAAATGAATACAGAGAGCAGTTACAGATAGCAACATTAAAGTTTTTAAAAACACCTTTACTGGAAACTATCCCTAACAAAGACAGAAAATGTTTTTTGTTGTTTTGTGTTTGTTTTCCTTTTTTTAAGAAGAAACTATTGATTGTTTCTAAAGGAACAGTAGTAGTGGCAGTGAAAGACCATTTAATTATTTTCTTTTAAATCTATTTCAAAAGAAAAAGCCATAATTATCATTTTGGGAAAGATAGGGAAACATTTCCTTTTTTCAAGAAAATTATATCTTTATTGGCCTTTAAAGTGGATAATAAATTGAAAGGAACACCTCATTCCCTCCCAAACACACAAATCGCCTACTATACTCTTTAACAGAGGTAAAGAAAACAAAATATCTTTATGTTAAATAACACTCCTCATTAAAAGAATGCTCTTTATTCAGTTCCATATATTATTTTTTGGTCTGGGAGGGAGGAACAGAATCTGTAATTTGGCTCAGCTTCCCTGTATTTTCTTATACTGTGGGGTAACTGATGAGTTTCAAACATTTATATTTAGACTATATTACCAGAAACAGCTGTTCCCAGGAAAGCTTCTACTTCCAAACTAAACTCACTAAGATTCAGAGAGGATCAAGCGATAAGAGGGTTCTTTGGACATTCTCAGTCAGTAAGAAACCAGTAACACAAATATTCCTAAATGACTGACCCTGCTGATACTTTCTCTTCCTTGAAGTTCCAGGCCTTATACTCTTGCAAGAAACTTTGAGAAGCTTCGGGCTAAGATGCAGAAAAATACTCAGAATGTGATACTAAAGCTTGCAAAAGAGAAAGTACATGAACAGAATCTAAAATTTAAAATAGTAATTAAAAAACCAGCTTTTAATCCATGTTTTTAAGTGCCTGAAACCTCAAGGTTAGGACTTCAGTACCCTGTATATAGCTCATGAATGCAATTAAACTGAAATCAAAGAGAGTGTTTATATTTCTCAGTCACATGCACAGTCAGTTATCTTTGTAACCTCTGGTCTTTACAGACATACATACCTATCACTGAAGTTGTAATAGCTATTAAAAATGCCCAACACAGAAGTTTGCAACATATTTACTGACAGTTAAATGATATTTAATATTGTTTGCTTAAGTTTGAGCCCTAACAAACTTTGAAGTAAATCCACGCACAAACTTGGACAGTTTTCCCCTGAAATTTAGCGGGAGCCTTCACCGTGTACATATGCAAGGCTACGGGCCCTGTCCGCATCTACAGAACATATTTTTTTTCTTTAAAGAGCAAGAAACAGTCCTCAGGGCCTCCAAAATTGTATTTCCAAGCCGTAACAGCAGGGCTGGCACCCCGAGCGAGAGGTGCCGCGAAGAGGGCGCCGCCCGAGCGGACCTCGGCCCGCTCTGCCCGCGGCCGGGGCCGCACCAGCGCCACCCCGCCAGGTCCTCCGCCTCGCCAGCGGCTTGCGGGGCACCAAAGCGGGCACGTCCTGAGGCGCCCCGCTCCGCCACGGACCCCACTGCCCCTGTACAGCGCCCCAATCCGCGCCGCTCCCACCACCGGACCGCAGGCCGCCCGAGCGCCCGCCACGGAGCGAGCACCGCCCGCCCGCCCGCCGAGGCGGCTGCGCAAAGCCGGGCGGCGAGGGATGGCCGCTCGCACCGCCCCCTTCGCACCGCCCCGGACGGGCCACGGGGCGGAGCTGCAGGAAGTGGCCGCCCGTGGTCGCTTCGGCACCGGGCTCGTCGCAAAGGGTGCCCGCGGGTTGCCGCGTTTTCCCGCCCCGCCATCACTGGCCTTCTGCCTCTCGCCGCCCGGCGCGGCCGCGGGGCTGGGGCGGCTCAGACCGCCCCCCCGCGTCCCTCCCGCCGCCTCCGCGCAGCCCCGGCGGTGCGAGGCATGAAGCTCAGCAAAGCCCAGTACGATGAGATAGCCCAGTTCCTGGGGCACGTGCAGCCCACCCGGCAGAGCCTGAGGAAGCTGAAGGAGAAGTTCCCTAGGTAAGTGCTTCCCGCCCTTCGTCGCGGGATCCCGGCGGCGCCCTGCGGGCTGGCTGCGGGCGGGCGAGGGGCCACGGGGGCCGCTCCGCCAGCCCCACCCGGTGCCCCAGTTCTGGCCCCACATGGTACAAAATCACCAGGACATGCACACCGTCGTCGACGGCAAGCAACAGTTCGCTAAAGCTGCCGCTGCGAGCAGGGTACTGCTCACCCACCGTGACCCCGAGGAGTTGGCACAAAATAAAGGAAGCTCATCCCCCCGACCCTGCCACACGTCCAAGTGAAAGCTTTCGGGTCCCTTCATGAGGCCCTTAAACACCAAGCAGCTCTTCTGATGTGAATGAAGCCTTAAGGCTTGGGCTGTAACTCTGTGGTTGAGGCCAAGGGTGGAACCCATCCTGCAACACCACTGCCCCTGTTGCTTAGGCAGAAGGGGCTTTCTGGACCAGTTATTTACTACCTGCTGCTACTTTGCAGTTGAAGGCTGGAAAAGGGATCATCTTCTGACTTATGGCCATTCATCTGCTTCCATGCCTTAGGGTTCAGAATTGTCAAAAGCATTTGCAAATGACCGTAGGCGAGCGTGGAAAGGTGCACATGGCAGGGTGTGCTCTATGCACCGATTTCATTGCCAGAATTTGCTTACTGTCAACGAGAGAATTGTAAGGAACGTTGCAAGGCTTTTCACTTTTGTTTTCAGGTTTGGGGGAACGATTACTAGAGCTGAATTGGAAAGAAAAGTAAAGTGGGTTTCATGGGGGAAAGAGTGGTGCTGTCTCCAAAATCACCAGAAATAATACAGAAAAATGTAGGGGTTTAGGTGCTATGCTTATTTTCATAAGAGAGAAATAAGTAAAGCAGAAAATCATTCACATGCTTCCTGAATGAGCCTTGCTAGTCTTACCGGAAGTGTGGGAGAAGAAACTGACACCGTAACTTTAGGTGGATGAGGAGCCAACATTAACTTAAGCTTTGAAATTGTCCAGTGAAATCTTTAAATTTTTAGGAAAGTCTGTAGTAGTTAAAAATCAAGATGAGGGAATAGCCCTGTTGTAGAGAACAAGTGATTCTAAAGAAATTTGATTCAGGGAGTGCATTGAGTTGCATTGTTGGGAACCCAGTTCACCTTGCACAGTACTTCTGCAACTTGGAAACCACTTACCATGACAGCATGTGTCTAAAGAGCTTAGACTTGGCTTTACCACTTTGGTACTAATGAAATTAGGAATGTTTATATATATTTGTGTGTGCGTGCAGGCATTACACATGTGCACATGTTCTCTTTTTCTAGTCTCCTTATAAAGCTGTCTTGAAAGAAGGTTAGAATTGGAGTTTGTTTTCCGGGTCAGAACCTGCTGCTGAGACAGATCCATAAGCACATGAGGGTCTGTAGTATGGAAAACAAGTTTGTCGGAAAAAGACCAGGCCTTTCTGATACATTTTACTTCCCAGTCCACTCATTTGACACTGCAAAAGATCCATTGAGTCCTCTGTTTCAGAACTTGGTGACTCCTGAAAGACTATGTGCAACTAACATTGTAAGATGACCTAATCACAGAATATTCTGAGTTGGAAGGGACTCGCAAAGATCATCAAGTCCATCTCTTAAGTGAATGGTCCGTATGGGGCAGATTAGACTCACAACCTTGGTGTTACTAGCACCAGGCTCTAACAGGGTCAGGGTTAGTTGGGAAAAAAATAACTGTTTTGTAAGGCAGCTGGTGTGGTGAACACTCAAAAGCAGAGATTAGCTATAGTAGTTGCTTCCATAATTAGCTGGCTTAGCACACTGTTACCTTGTTATTCACTTTATGTTATGAAAATGCCCTCTTTTGAATTCTGCTTGTAGGCCTCTCCTGAATTTTTTTTGCCCATCCTGGCCGAAGGCTAAAATCTTCTTTTTGAGTGATGAATTAACTGATAGCTTTTTCAAAAATGCCTGTCTTAAGTATATTTTGAGGAGGTCTACATGTGTCCTTTCTGTGAATGGCTCAGGAAGTGGTATTTCTTTGTTGTATCTTTGTTTATTTCTCATAGCAGGGCAGATGCAGAAGATAAATAATACACTCCAAGGTCACTGCCTGCCTTAGCACCAAGGGAGGTGTATTAAAATAGATACATGTTACAGTGTGTAGGACAGGCATTCTCTGTAACTGTTGTCTTGTAAAAGAGGCCAGCTGCAGAGATTTGTAAACTCGTGTGCCATCTTAAAGGGGAGGCTTTTTCAGTGATTTGTTTTATAACTGTGAAGTAATTTTCTTGTAATCTAGAACCTTTGTCATTCCCTTCTGGAATGGGAAGGGTCTCACTGGACTTTTTGGCTGCTTTATTTTTCTTTATGAAAGCCAGAATCAAACAAACAACCCCCTGCTCACCTCAATTTTCTAATTCAGTCTTTTTAAGAAAATATTCCAGAATCTGTCATGGTACTTGCAGTGTGATGAAGGTGTCCATAGCCAGTTTGTCATTATTATATGGTAACAGTTGCTGATTCAAACTGGAAAGTACTAACATCCATAATAGCTGCTTTCACCTTGCACTTTCAATCTTTTCCTGGGAAGAATCAGTATTCCACTGGTAAAGCAATACATAAATTGACAGTTTTCAAATATTTCTGGTTCCTGCTGCCTCATAGATCTTGAGAGCCTTTGGATTTCTGCATTAATCTGTTCAGGTTTTTTCTAATACTGTCTTATCTCTTGGTTCCTCCCCTGGTTGTTGTGTTTCCTGAAGTCTGAAAGTTAATGCTCCATATTTGTATAAAGTGTCTTTCACACTTTGTCAAAGGGCCTGCTCCTGTTCTGCAATTTCCCCCTAAGAATAGGTTGTAATTTCTGTAAAACAATTGCAACAATTCAGTATATAGGTATTCTCTGTGATGGCTGACCTGTGAGTCTAAATAATTTTTTAACAGGGTAGTTTGTGCTTTACTGAGATTACTACTTCAAAAGAGCATTGCCATGTGACTTATTAATGTTGAAAAGTCAAAATTAGACTGCTTCTCATACTGTGTATACAAGCATTGCAACTTTTTTTTTTTTTTTACAACCCTGTAACATTACAGTCAACATGGATTTAGTATACTTGGCTTAAAATCCAGTTATTTTGCAAAAAGTTGGGAATCAAGTTGCTGTTCTTTTTCTATTAGTACTGTGCTTTGTATTCCATGCCTGGTAATTACAAATGTATTATTAATTTCTTTATTCTTGAGGTATTTGTTACATGCTTAGCAGTTGTCTTCTAAGAGGTTCATGTTTAACAGCAGGATATTTGGATGACCTGAGGATTATCAAAATGCAATTTTGAGCTCTAAGCACAATAAATCTCTGCCAATATTGAATCACTGATCCGTAGTTCCTTTGATCTTTTTAACCCATACACCACTGGACTGATAATTCTTTATGTTCAATGCTTTTCTGAAGTGTAACACCTTTTCTTCTTTGTTTCTTACCTGAATCTATCTACTTGCTAATAATTGTGGGTTTCTTTGTTACTTTTGTATTTTATTCTTCTTTCTCTTCAGCTATGCACTCATGTTCTTCTGAGATACTATTCTTCTCAATGAGACCTAATGTCTAAATTGAATTACCCATTGTAGGGCTGGTTATAGGAAATGTAGGGTATTGCAGGAAATGTTCTGAGAAAGTTACAATCCCTTTATTTTCAGTGTGTGTTTATATCTTAAATGGTAGTTAGAGCTGCCTGCAAGTAGAATCTTGTAGATAAGAATCACTTCAACTGCAACTATTTATACTGACAAGATGAAAGTTAGACCTTTAAACCTTTACCTGTATTCAAAGAGTATTTTAACTTGTCTTAAAAAATCCAGCTTCAAAGGGTTTATACTCAAACTGATATTCTAGTACTTCGCTTTGGTTGTTTACTGTTCAGTTCCTGTTTTAGTTGTTTCAGTTCTTCTGTATATGGAAGAATATATTGTGTCTCTCGGAAACTTTTTCTAAAGCTCCTTACCAGTAGAACATGATTGACAAATGACTTGATCCTTCTCATATATATACCTTTTACATATTTTGCTTCTCTTCTCTGTATCAATTCTGATTGAATATTACAGTTTCCTTGATTGAATCTTCCTGTGGTGTCTACCAAGTTTTGTAAGGGTGAAAGCTTTGCTGACCCCATTCATTATGATACTATCTTGTAGGATTTTTTTTAATGTGAATTTTTTTCTGGTTTGGTTCTGTTCTGAGTGTTTGAATTTCTAACACTAGGCTGTGCTTGAATTGGAGATTCCATAAACTTTCTTATGGTTCAAGTTGTCTCAGTAGCCCTGAGCATCTTTAGTGATTCCAAAATCCATATGCTTTTCAAGTTCTTGCATTGAACTGTTGTGAAATATATTTCAGTGCAAATATATTCAGTGCTGTATTCTTCCACAGCACAATTTACGTAGTTCTGTATTGTTTCTCTTCTTCAAGTTGGTGTTTCCAGCCTAACTTTCCTTTAGGTACCTTCACTTGTATTCCTGTAAAAGAGGTATTAGTTTCTGAGCCTGTTTGAGTGCAAACTGTTACAGAGATTTTTCAGAGTACTAGGATTTCAAAGTGTTAGAATTTTAACAGTTGCTGTGTGCAGTTCTTTGCTTTTCTCCCGTGAATCTATTCAAAGAAGTACTGTCCTGTTTGTGTTCTTTCTGTGAAAACTTACTTCCATGTGATCAGGAGGAGCTATTACAGCAGAAAGGTAAGGGAACCTGGCATAAATGTAATAGGAGTACCTTTTTTTTTTTTCTGCTTCATTTTTCCAGTAAGCAAGAGGAAAACATGATGCACAGCTTCATACTGATATACTTGATATTTAAATATGAATATTTGGTTTTAATGTGTGCAACTTCATATTTGATTATTGCAATGCACGTAGTCATTCCCTGAGCAGATCAAGAGGTGCACATTCCTCTACACTTCTGACCTTTCTTCTTCATTACATAATATCACTTCAGTTTTACACACATTTTCAGTAATTGTCTTTCTCCAAATTACTGA